CATTGACTTGACTTCAGTCATGGCTACCAAGAAAAAGCAGGAGAGGAGGGTGCAGTTGATGGCACCATAAAGTCAACCTTTGTTTTTACTTCCATGTGTGTTAGGTGATCACATCATTCACAAGGATAGTCCTGATGTTTCAGATAAAACTTACTACAGGTGACACCTGTCCTGATCAGACTGTGTTTCCTGGGAAAAGTGATGGCCATCCTATCTAAATGGGCTTGTAGACTGCCAAAGGGCTGTTGGCTGCAGCAATATCCCAAAATGTATAGTTAGTGTTGTTTTTTTTATTTCTTCCTGTAAAATTGATGATAACAACCCATTTTTATTTGACCAAGTAACTGAAGGACCTTTACCAGCCACCAAGAGCAGATGGTTCAGTGTGTGGTCCTTGGTGGTTGGTCTGCAGAAGCTGCAGCTGCCTGAGAGAGGTCTATGGTAGAAAACTCAAGTCCTGTGGGACTTCTGGAAATGAGTGTTTAGATCATTTAAACTTGAGAATGGTGTTAATGAGGGTTTTCAAAGAAAAGATGGAAAGAAAAAATTAGGTCTTCCCTAATGGGTTTTAAAAATTTCCTGCGGAAGACTGTCCGGAGGTTCCTAATTTGCTGATATTCAAGTTCTTTAATGCGTTTTACCACTTTCCGGCTCTGTACGCTTGACCTTGTTACAGTATTTTTAATAAGGTTGATTTAAAGAATTTAGGACAAGGCATGTCAGAAATAAGTGAAAGGAAAAGAATAAACTATGGGAAAAATCAGTTAACAGCTTGAATTTAGTGGTAATAGCTCAAAACCCAGCATCTCTATCTTGCCTTATTATTTTGCTGGGTATTTTCTGATTACACCGTCACTTTCACATGGGAGGTAAAAATTATCTTTATTGGGTATTCTGAGGAGCGGTACCCAAATTCGGCAATCTTCTGAAAAACAAGCCTTAGCTGTATCCTTTAAGGAGAGGGTTTTGCCTACCTAGACACCTAAAAATGTCTCTACTATATTTTAGCTTGAAATCAATTTTGACTGACAAAATGCTAGTCAGGAGACGAGCAGAAGTGGCTCAGCTGTAAACATGACACTTCCTGCAGCAGGGTACCTGCACCCTATAATAAATGCTGTTTTGTGCTGGGAGGCTGCATCTGGGGGGAGATGATCCCAAAAGCTGGGCAGACATTATGCCAAGGTTGCACCAGTTGAGTCCATCTTCGAGGAAGAACGCAAAGCAGTGTTTGCTGGCAGCGTAACAGCAAGTTTCAAGCAAATATATTGGTATATTGTTAAATTAAACCATCCAAATATAGTTTCCATTTATTTGAAGAATTATATCGGCATTATTAAGGGGGTTAGGTGTGGCAGGAGCTATGAAAGCTGGAGTGGGAGCAGGACTCCAATAAGTTAGGAGATGTAGGAAGATAAATAAACAGAAAGATGGGAATAATTTTAAAATCTATGTTAAATTTTTACAGTCTAAGGTAAAATCAGGGAGCAGAGGCTGACGTATGACCTTATGTCTGGTTAAAACTGCCTGTATTTTTCATATTTCCATTTTCCAACACAGCTTCATGAATAGTGGGATCGATATGCTTTTATCAGAAAACTTCCTGGAAACGGTTAAAAAAATGGTAGTTCTTAAATTGTTGGCAGCTTATCAGAAGCAAAATTGTTGAAACTTCCCAAGTTATATATGGTGAACTGGGCAACAAATTATAAAAAGACAAATACATATATGCATTTCATTTCTTAAATAATGTACTTATGTTTATAGTGATGTGATAACACACTTTGGAAGAGCTTTAGGAACTTGGATAACGTTGCCATCTAATTCCACCGTGGGGTTAAGGAGCTGAATGAAGCACAGCAGTACAAAGTCTCCTGCCCTGGTTTTTCAGGCGCATGCCTGGGAAAGGAGCCGTGCCCGCTGGTGTGCAGCCTTGTACCTCTTTGTGGCTCCAAAATACCCTCTGCTTGTATGTCCCAATGATGCACCCTAGAAACTCCCCCCAGCAGCTGTGACCTTTCTCCAAGTCCCGAAGTTTGAAGCTGGAGGGGCTGTAAAATACCAGAGCTCGCGCAGAGGACAAAATATAGTAACGGGCTGGAAGGAAGCAGGCATTTTCCCAGGAGGAAATGGTGGAGGCAAACAGTAGCGATGGAGTATTCGGAGAGTGAAGGCGATTCCTCTGATGAAGAGCGCTGTTTGTCGGGGAGCAGCAATGAGTACTCCTGTGATGAAGTCCAGAAAGTGTCCGAGTCAGTGCTCGCAAGCAAGGCTTTCACATAATTACTTGTGGCATTTAATGCCATGCACATCTAATAATTACTTGTTGCATTTAATGCCATGCATTTCAATTAACTACTTTTGTATTTAATGCTGTGCACTTCTAATAATTACTTGTTGCATTTAATGTCCTGCACTTTTAAAAACTACTTTTGCATTTAGTGCCATGCACTTAAAATACCTGTTGCATTTAATGCCGGGCACTTCAAATAACTACTTGTTGCGTTTAATGCCATGTACTGTAGCTGGTGGCCACCAGTTGAAATACTACCTTTTAAAACATGGACTGACAATTTGTTTTGCTTGAAGGTGACTGAGGTTAATTTGTAGATCAGTGCCGTGGCCCTAGGTATGTTTGTAATTTTTAAGCATACGTGAGGTGTTGGCAGCATTTGGAAGTCAGACCGTGTCTTGTGTTTCACAGCTGATGCACGTAAAAGTATAACGTTTGTATAGAACTGAAAATACATTGAGTTTTTCCTTCTGCTTTTAGAAACTTGATGAGATTTTTAATCCTGCTTGCAGCCTGATCAGTAAACACTCCCTAACAGGAGAGCATGTGAGGTTTATAGACCCACTTACAATCGATTTAGAGTGTGGGAACAGAAAGCTGCTTTCCCCCATCGGCCCCTTTGTTCAGTATTTGTGGGACGAGGGTCCTGCAGCAGTGGTGGAGCAGGGTTTGTAAGCAAGCAGGTGCAGGATGGCTTTGGAGATAGCCAAAGATAGTAATTTCTTGATTTAACGCTTCATATATGAGCCACTTCATCATTCATTAAAAAAAACCAAACTGTTTTTTTCCTGACTTATCAGTTATTTCTACTTGTGCAGAACATAAAGAAACATCAGAATCGCGTGACATTCTGCATTACAAAAACCCTGCCATCCCTCTCGTTCAGGTGTTTGTGCTAAGTGAGATGCCCTTTGGGAAAGTGCCTTCGTTCTACATTAATTTCATGCTGATTAAAAGGATGTATTAAGTACAAGATAGTGGAAACCGTAACAGTTACTTTTGCATTTTAATCTCTAATGTTAAGGTTTATTTAAAATGTTTGAACTGAAGCCACCAATAGCTCTATTTTACTTGTCTGTAATCATATAACTGTAGTATAGTAACTATAATCTTGTCTATAATCTATAACTACAAAGGTATAAACTGTATTTTTGTGGCAGAAAGGCAGCCGAGATAATGGGACAAATATGTTAAATTTTAACAGGAATTAATGAAAAACCAAATGTTTGCATACTTGTTTTAATGTATTAATATACTGGCAATAGTTGGCTACAGCAACTTAATGGGATATTAAATATTATCATTCCTTATCCTCTCTATGTTTACCAAAGTTTTAGAAGTTAATAGAGATAATTGTCTACTGCTATTCTGCTACTTCTTTCTGCTTGCTTTAAATTACCATAATTTTGTTTATCAGTATGGATAAATTACGACTAATGCACACTTAATTTCATTGAAAATAGACTCAAAGACAGCATTTGAATATAAGCTTGAATATTAATGTTTCTTTAATTTGTATTTCTGCTTGCTCTGTTTTAAAGATATTAAAGTAAAGATAGCTCAAAAGTAATTAAAGCTAATTAGTGATTACCTTAAAGGGAGAGTGCACATTCATTCCTGTATGAGTGCACATGCACCACACTTTTTTTACTATATTAATGCTTTAATACCTCCAATCTTTAAATAGGGGAACTGCTATTTCTAACAGAATTTTTAAATCTCATTTTCTACTTCAGTGGAAATGTACAGTGGTTTTCTAGTCTAAATGAATTAGGTGTGTTTAAAAGAGGTGGGTCTCTTTTGCCTGTAATCCACTTACCCTTCATACGTGGAAAGGTTTGGAGTGCATTTGAATAAAACAGCGACTCTGAATCCTGTGCATTTGTTTGGCCAACACAGAAAATGCAACGACATCTCTATAACCCTGATGAAACATCAGGTCGGTCTGATTAGAATGAATTAACTTCATATTTTGTAGCTTGGGCTGGCCACAGCCAAATTCTCGGTGGGACAGGGAAAGGGAGAACACAAAGCATTTGGTAATGAAGATACAGAAAAAATTCTAAGTGTAATATTTTTAATTTCTGAAAAGCTGGTGAAAAGTACCAGCACAATGTTTTAATGCTGAGACCTTTCAAAAGCTCCATCCTAATCAGACACCTTTTATAGGCACAGTCCCAGCCTCCACCATGCTCAGATAGCAAATGCATAGTGAGTCCTATAGCCTACCATACACGTTGTACCTGCTCTGAGTAGCAGAGCTGGTGTCCTACTTAACTAGATGCTTCATGTTCCAACATTTAGATGTTATGTAGGTTTTGGGGGAGAAGGACATGAGCAGAAGTCTAAATGTTCATAAATAAATTATGCTAATAGCTAATATTTTTATAAAACTGTTTCTATGCACAAATGTGCATAGTAAGAAATGAGACTTTGCCTAAAGCAGATAAAAAGGATGGGCTGATGCATGTCTGGATGTCTTATTTATAAGGGCGACCTGTTTCTCTCTTTCTGCTCATGCGTGGTTTTTCACTTTTGTGTGCTTGAAGCCTCTATGGATGGTGAACACCAAATCAATATAGGGGAAAAACTGTGAAACCCAGAAATTTATTATTGAAATGCTTTAGGAATGCAATATGTTTGGAAATAAAAAGGTGGTCATGAAAATAATACAGCTTTTACTTAAGAAATGTATTTTTTCTTTCAGGGAGGATGTCAGAACGGCCAACGTCATTGCTGCTGAAGCGGTAACTTGTCTGGTCATAGACAGAGAGTAAGTACATCATTTTCCTGCCTTGGGGTGGGATGTATCTCCAGTTAGCACCTTTTACAGTTTTTAACTAAAGTCTTTGATCATTTTCTCCAGAGAGGTCATTTAATTTTGAGTAATACATTCACAGCCCTTGATGAAGTAGAGGGAAGATCCCCCTTAAATCAACAAAACAAAACTCAGTAGCGACACATGGAGAAAATTAAGATGCGCAGAAAGACAAAATTGAAATAAATGGGGAGGTAGCATTACTGTGGAAATGGATCCAGGCCTTGTGGTGCAACACAGATTAAGTTTGTGTCAGCAAAATGTCACAAAAGGCATCAAGCTTCTGGCAAATGTTAAATCAGGATATTGTTATTCTATCCCATGTGGGCATGGAGAGCCTTCAAGCAAAGGATATAGCCTTGCTTGAGGCTCTGCAGCTCAAAGGAAATAGAGGAGACCAGAAGAGTAAAATAATGTCTTATATCGGGAGCTTGAAAGAATTAGGGGGTTTTAATCTAGAAAAGAAATGCCCGGGCTCCAGAAAACAGTGCTGCAAATTTAACTGCTCTCTGCAATTGTTGAGAATGGGATTTAAAAAATTAGCATTACGTTGAAATGTCAACATGACTCTTTGGGTGGTTTTCCTGTTGTGAGGGCAGTGAAGCACTGGCATAGACCATCAAAAGGTACAGACAAATCTTCAACAGGAATCCTTGCAAGGGAATGTATAGATCTGTGAAACCATGGGAGGTGTGGGTAGGTTGAATGGGAATTGACTTTTCACTGCCTCCCCCAGTGAAACCCAAAGAAACATGCAGGAAGGAGGTGAAAGCCAAAAGGAGGCGTCTCTTCACATGGAGATCACTCACAGAGCCATAGGAAAATGAGAATAGTTTGCAAGTGTTCAAAAGGAAAATAAATCCATTGGATTTATTAAATATGTAGGACCTACCTCTGGGCTAGGAAGTTTTGGAGAGCTGTAGGAGAGTACCAAGGCAAATATCACAAATGGTTGCTCAGTCCTTGAACTCTTCCCCAGGCACATAGTCTTGATGCAAGACACCATCAAAGGTCAGGTGCTGGGTTAGGATTGACCTCAGAAGCCCTTCTTATATTCTGGTGAGATAAGTGAGAGGTGCTGGAGTATCTTATAGGGGTGATCTACATACACTCAATCCTGCTTTAATACAAGCGTTTTGTATTCAGTTATCTCTTGAGATTTCTTACAGTCCTTCATTTCTAGAAATCTAGTGTTGGGGAATAATATTTCAAAAATCCTAGGTCTTCTGATACGTTAGTTTGGTTATGATCAATTTAAAAAAAAATACAGTCTGTCCGTTGAAAACAGATGGGGAACTTCAGGACTGTAAGCTGAGTGGCTTTCTTGCACATACACAAGGAAGGTAGCCTGGTAGATAAAATACGCATTATTCCTTATCGTTCCATGGGGCAAAGAGAAGAAGAATTTACATAATTAGATAATTTAGCAAGCATTAATTCAGAGAAATATTAAGCAACAAGTAATTTATGCATTTTTTTCTGAATGCTTCTGCAAGGGATATTTTTGTTTTGCACTGCAAGCATTTAAAGAAAACCAAATAACTAGTAATTGCAGAGTTAGACCTTACTGATCATTTCACAGACTGTTTCTTTCCTTGCCTGTTGTGCCTTTTTCTCAGAATATAATGCCCTTGAAATAGTAAGGAAGTACAAGTCCAATTTAAACTGATGAAGTTGTAATTAATCTATACCAAACATTCTAGTAATGCGGTAGCATTACTCTCTCTAGTAGCAGAGTAACACTATTCATAAGAATCCTATTTATAGTGCAAGAAAAGTAATGCTATTTATAGTTCAAGGAAGGTTGTCCTGTGTCCTGGCCAGTTCTGCCTTTCTTGTCATAGCTCTTCTCTTAGATTATTATTTAGGTATGCGGATAACTGTAGAAGCTAATTTTAATATGGAGAAAATCTACTAAGACTTCAGTAAATTTGGAAAATTGTGCAGACGCTGTTCTGTTAATGATGGAAAAATAGCATTTCTTTATATCCAGATACACAATATTACAGCATTTGGTTTGTTACAGCGGTCACAGTAAATGTTCACGTTGAGTTACATGCACAGTAGCAATGGAAACTGGAAGTCAGCTTTACTAACAGTCAGATGCTATTCTGCGCAGAAGGAGGAGTGATGCATGTCATTAAGGTTGCATAATATTTTCTATTACAAGACAAGCTCTTTGCCTAATCAAATGGAACTATTGAAGCAGCAATTTTCATGTCTGTGCGTGTCTCAATCTGAAACATTTGAGCAAAATTGATGTTGCAATTTCAAAGAACAAGTTATGGGAAAATATCGTTTCCTTAACAGTCAATCCGTTTCTCTGAGAAACTGAAGAATTTCAGTCTTATGGACAGTAGGGGTTAATATTACCCATTGGCATTGTCTTGTCATCAGAGTAACTCTTTGAGCTTCCTTTTAAAAGTCTTCCCAAGATATCAAAAAATTGTTCCACAGAACACCTGAGAGCCACACTGCTAATACAGCTGCCGTACTCCTATCTAGTTAACATTTGAACTGTAAGTCACACCTTGGTATCACAGCAAGTTATGCCTAAGCAAGGTGGAAGACTGGTCTCTGGATTTGACAATATTATGAGCAATTGTAGGGCTGGTTTAGTTGCTGGAGGATTTTGAGGGTAATAATACAGGAAACTTTCTTTATAGGGATGAGCCAGGCCACCAAGCAAGCTCTGGGAGAGCTGGGTTTGAGATGGGACATTGCTTAAGTGTGAAAATATGAAGTGGTTTGCCTAAAATAATTTCTGAAGTTCAAAATATATGTATTAAAATGCTACAGGGGTGAAGCAGTGGGAGTTGAAAATACCATGAGGAAAGCCAAATGGTAGTACATAATGGATCTTTAATTACCAAACTCTCACAATGTCAGTGCTGCCTTGCTTTGTAATTTCCTTGTGAAACAAGAAGGCCGTTACAGTCACAAAAACACCCCAAAGACACTCAAGAAGTAGTATAGTTATGTCATGCAAATCTATGTTAGACATGCTTTGCAACAATGGATTTTCAGCATCCTTTGCTTATGTAGAAACGAGCAGAGTCATGATCTAACAAAGAAAATGAACTGCAGTGCAGCAAGCATTTGAAGTCCCACATTAAAGTCCCACAGACTTTAAGCCATTTTGTTCCCACTTGTCCTTGTCGTGAAAATATTTGTTATGAAGGACAACATTGACATTCTTTCCATCTTGCAATTACCTTTTTAAGTCCCTTCCTTTACCAGAATAATGAATTTCAGTGGGATTTGGTCCTTAATGCTTTCTGGCTTCATCAGCAGTCTCCACCATGCAGGAGGTGAGATGAAGCCAATCATGCGGCTCCAGCCAAGCTGTAGGAGAAATTTCAGCTGATTTTGCTAAGGCTTAATGTCAGCTTATGCTGCATTTCACGCCCATGTGAATGAATAAATATTTCTCGTGAACAACCTGCAAGTTGAACAAACATCCTTTTCTCTAAGTTGGAGAGAGATGGATTTGATGGATGGACTGTTTGGTGGTAAGGAATGGGATGCATGGTCACATCCAGAGGGTAGTGGTCAATGGCTCAATGTCTGGATGGAGATCAGTGACGAGTGGTGTCCCTCAGGGGTCTGTATTGGGGCCAGTACTGTTTAATATCTTCATCAATGACATAGCGGGATTGAGCACACCCTGAGCAAATTTGCAGATGACACCAAGCTGAGTGATGCTGTTGACAGGCCTGAGGGACGGGATGCCATCCAGAGGGACCTGGACAAGCTCAAGAAGTGGGCCCATGCGAATCTCATGAGGTTCAACAAGGCCAAATGCAACATCCTGCACCTGGGTCGGGGCAATCCCTGATATCAATACAGGCTGGGGGATGAAGGGATTGAGAGCAGCCTTTGGGGTACTGGTGGATGAAAAGCTGGACATGAGCCAACAATGTGTGCTCACAGCCCAGAAGGGCAACCATATCCGGGGCTGCATCAAAAGAAGTGTGGCCAGCAGGTCAAGGGAGGTGATTCTGCCCCCTGCTCTGCTCTGGTGAGACCCCACCTGGAGCACTGCATCCAGCTCTGGAGTCTTCAGCACAGGAAGGACATGGACCTCTTGGAACAGGTCTAGAGGAGGGCCACAAAAATGATCAGAGAGATGGAACACCTCTCCTATGAGGAAAGGCTGAAAGAGCTGGCGTTGTTCAGCCTGGAGAAGAGAAGGCTCTGGGCAGACCTTATTGCAGCCTTTCAATACTTAAAGGGGGCTTATAAGAAAGATGGGGAACGGACTTTTTAGCAGGGCCTGTAGCAATAGGACACGGGGTAATGGTTTTAAACTAAAAGAGGGTAGATTCAGACCAGATATAAGGAAAATTTTTTTTACGATGAGGGTGGTGAGACACTGGAACAGGTTGCCCAGAGAGGTGGTAGTTGCCCCATCTGTGGAAACATTCAAAGACAGGCTGGATGGGGCTCTGAGCAACCTGATCTAGTTGAAGATGTCCCTGCTTGTTGCAGGGGTCTTGGACCAGATGATCTTTAAAGGTCCCTTCCAACCCAAACTTCTCTGTGATTCTGTGACTCTATGTACCTTTAGGAAGATGTCCTTCAGCAATAACTTGAACCCAACAGTGAAGAAGATACAGGCTCAGCATTGAACTTTTAATTTCGTTGTTTTTTTAAACTAGGTAAACTATTTCACATAGGTTCTGCATCGTATTTTCTGGTACTAGCATATAGGGCACAGAAGAAACATGAATGTGAGTGTATATTGTGTTAAATGAGTGCTTTATCTCAGCCTGTTGATACCATTTTGGCCTAGACATAAGAAGCCAATAAGTGGTGGGAGTCAGTAAACTTGGGGCAGAAAACAGGGAAGGTGTGGTGTGTTCTTTTAAGGTAATAAGAAGGAAGAAAATATAACAGCTTGTAAGTTAATAGCAACAGGGAAAGTGCATTTATTCAGGGAATGGAAGTTGCTG